TCGAGAGATCCTCTCAGCAGCAGGAAAAGAAACTAGGCTGCAAAGTTATCTCGTCTAGACACAAAAGGCTTCATGTTGGTACAACGAATCACAAGCTATAAAGTATATGTAAACCTCTGTTCATTGTCTTCTATTGTCTTTAATTTTGCATCAACAGATCCTGATTCTAATTCACTATTATTTGAAAATATTAAAAATCATTATCTCATGATTTCTGAAGCCTCCTTCAGCAGGCAAGATTCTCTTTCAATAATGTTTCAGGCAATCAGTGCTACAACTTTACAGCCATGAGACGTACAGATGTTACCTAGAAAGAAATACCCAACCACTCTCTCTCTCAGTTGCTCAGCTTTGTTTCTTGGAATATCGTATATCCTCCAGACCTGCAGTTCATTCACAGGCCACCATGGTCCCTATGCCTTAGCTTTCAACGTCAAAAGCAATCAGGATTTGAAAACAAACCCATTCCCCTTCATTCTGAAGAAAAAGGAGCACAGGAGTAACATTTAGCTCATCTCTGGTGAGCTTCATGCACACACATAAGATACCTTTTGAGCACTTTCACATCATTATTTCCTTAACTGCGGAATTAAATTCTTGGTTTCTCCACACAGCCCCTCTCCTGACTCTACCATTTCCCAACCTTTTCTGGATTCTTTCAAAATTAGTGTTGGCAAGGCCAAAGTTTAAAATACTCATGCAAAGGTAAAAAAGACTTTTTAGTAGCAGACTAACATTTCTGTTGATGAAATCATTCTAGATGTCTCACAACATTGCTACACAGCGCTTGGGTGCTGCGCCAGCAACCTTCTTTGCTGCATTTCCTAACCATTAAACGACTGCCTTTGTGACTCCTCCACATTGTCCAGTGAATTGTCTTCTACTGTTAAATCCTGAACCAAAACCTTCCAGCGAAGAATAACACTCACCATATGCAACTGTATCATCCGGGCAGGGCCAGAGAATCACAGTGGCACTCACTTCCATACACAAACTGGTAGAAACTGTACAGCAAATGAAATCAGTAGATACCCAGGCAACTACAATATAATGGGGAAACTATAGCCATTGTACAGAGGTTATACATCACAAATCCATTAGAGTCCTCTGAACACTAAGGGTGGTCCTGCCAAGAAAGTATATTTGTATTTCCAGATTATTGGGGGGTAAGGTTTTGCACCTACAGAAATTAAATAATCACAGAATAGTAGGGAATGTTCCCTCCTGGATTAATAGCTGTTTAAAAGGAAATAAATAAAGGACAAGAATAAATGTTGAGTTGGAAAATAATTCTAAGGAATCTGTCCTGCTGAACACATTAAGTTTTTGGAAAAGGAGATGAAAGACCAAGTTAGCAAGGGCATGAAATAATTTGGGATAATCAAAGCTTCATTACTGAGTTGCAACAGATTTCACAATGTTGTATTGTAGGGCAATTTAAAGACAGTTAACATTTAATATTGATAAATGTAAACAGGAAAAAGCAACTCTGATTATACATACATATTAGGCAGTAAATTACCTATTATTACCTTTGAGAAAATAGACTTTGAAGTCACTGGGGATGATGTTAGTAATTCTTGGTAAAGGAATACAGAACAAAACATTATGTTACCACATAAATCTGTAGTCTCTCTCTTTCAAAACCAGAAATGGAACAGGGTGAAAAGGAAGAACAAAGATACCAATAATCTCCATATAGAGATTAACTAGACTTCTCAGTGAGGACAAGAGACAAGTCAGGGTATATAAAGTTATGACTAGCATGGGGGAGGTGATTACGCAATGATTATTCACTTATTTCTCACAGCACAAGAACAAGACAGCACCCAATGAAATTACAGGGCAGCTGCTTTAAAACAAACCAAAGGAAGTACTTTTTCATACAGCACATAATTAAATAGCGGAACTCATGGGATACTGTGGAGGTCAAAAATCTAAGTGAATTCAAAAAATATCAAACATGTAACATAGGTCCACCAGTGGCTATTAAACATGATATTCCAGATGGTATTTCCATATTGGGAAGTCCTGATGGCTAAAAGCTGGGAGAGTACAAAGTAAAAGGATTGATCTGTATTTGTCATGTTTCTTATATACGTCTAAGCATCCACAATTGTCACTCTCAGAGACAAAAGACCTAAATAGCCTTTTAGTCTGATGGGTTATGGCTACTTTTACACCTTGTAGGTGGTCCTGCCAGTGGAGGAGGGGGCAACAGACAGTGACATACAATTTCTGTGTGCAATTTAGTTTATAAATCAAATACAGCAGTGGTGCAAAGATACTCAAGATTCAAGCATGGTAGGGCGTAGGACAGCCTTTTAGTCCAAATGTAGTGTATCATGAATGTACCTTTGCTGAGCCAGTTTGGGTCCAGGAATGTGCTCTCAGTTGGATTTAGCCCTGTTGAATATCCCTTGGCTCCATGCAGTGCCAGTTCAAGTGTCCCTTGTAGCAGGGCTTCTCCTTCCAGAGGCAGACTCTGTGTAACGCACTGCGTTGCTGGCTTCAGACATCTGTACTACCCTGTAACCATGCTAGTAAAGCTCCCCAGGAGGGGGTGCATCAAGGACTGCATTGAGGAGACATCAAACCAAGGTTCATCAAATCAGGTTTGGAGGCAGAATCCTTTCTCACTCTTTTGGGATTGTACCAGCCTTCTGTGACTATAAGCTGTAGAGCTGACGGTGTTTTGCTTATGTGTTTCAAAGGATACGAGCTAAAGAAGAGCAGCAGCACTGAAATGCAGGAATAGCAGTTTTCAACAGTAATAATTTTTCTAATAATTCCAGTTTTCTTTCCTCCTGTGGCCACTCAGCTGCTCCTGTCTCTCTCCCTAGCACTTTCATCTTAATGCTATCTTGCCTTTCTTCTCAAACTTCCGTCTCACCCCCTTCTTGCTGATACGCTTCCCTCATCAATTCTGTCCTCCTACCCATAGCTCCCTTTGCTTCTGCTCCTTTGTATCTCCAACCATCTTTGCTCTAGTTTCCTTCACCGGGCTTCTCGTGCTAACCCACTTCAGAACTGCTGTCTTCCTCGTTCTTGCTCCTGGCTTTCTCCATCTGTCCTTTTCTCCTTCCAGCTGTTTTCCGGAGCAGCTGTTTCCACCACCGCACAAAGCCCAGATGGCTGAGTACTGACTATACAGAGACAGGCACGCTCTTCTCAGTTCCTGTGCCTGGAGCCCTGTGATATCCCACTTTGCTCCTGTAGTGTCAGAAAGAGATGGGAGTCCACTCACATGGAGGAAATGTGAAGGGCCAAAGAATGCTGATGGTATTCAGAGATGTTATATACCAAACCTCTGAGTCTCCACATGGATTACGTGTGGCTTTTCCCCCAGAACCCTGGCAGTTGGTCACTCTTGAGTAGTCTCGCAATGAAAGGCATTTCCTTGATTCCAGGAAAACTACCATGTCTAAACTTGAAGTCACCATCCCAGAGGTACAAGGCTTCCACAATGAAAAAGCTTTGAGAATATCTGCAGTGCGTGTGCAATAAATTACTTCTGTTCCCCAAATCAGGTCAATGGTTTTAGCTGAAGCTCAACAAGTAGCCTGCTTGTGGCCGACACAGCCCATGGAAAGTTCCATCCAGATAGTTTCAGGCTGGCAAATTTTAAACAACTGGAAAGATGGACTTTTAATAGGAAAATCTTAGGAACTCATGCATGGCTACCCAGTCCTTCCAAACTGCTTACTTTCTCCACTTAAAGTATGTGTGTGCATATATGTATATATTTTTATATATATATTCAAACTGGCACCACTAAAACAATATTATTACTAGAACATTGCTGCTGTAAAACTCCTTCCCTACTGAACCATTTTTGCCTGGGTTTCCCCCCACAGCACTCACTTGCACAGTTATAAGCAGGACAGTTGAATGCAGCATGCTACTGTTTTAAGCCACAACTACAGTTTCAGCTACCACAGCTGGCAATTATTTGAAGCAGAGAAAATGATGGGCCTATTAAAGAGCCTGAAAGCGAGCCCACGAAGAACCTTTGGGGTATTTCAGGTTCTAAGCATGTCAGCAGCATGAGCTGAACAGAAAGCTTTGCAACACTGCCGGAGCTCTCCTTGGAACACAATACTACATTGTCTGGGGCAAGTGTAAGAACACTCCTTCTGCAGATAGAGGATCTTGGCAGAAGTACCCTTTTAATGGCCATATTTCACTTACAAGATAAACATATCACTTAAAACTCCTACTCCTTTTTCATTTTTTTGCCTATCAAGGAAAAGTCACTATTTCCCTCAATCACATGCCTCTTAGTTTCCAGCAATGTGAACCGCAGGCTAAATGGTTGCTAATTCTCTATGAAAAGCATTACTACTTCTAAGAGCAATGACTGAAAAAAAGGCGTATGTGTTAATAAAACAAAAAAACAAAACACAGACTTCTTACAACTGTTTCGGTTGTGAAACTGCAGCTCTCCTCTGCTTGGGGCAGTTGTGAACTGGCACCTTGGCCCTGCAGGTGCCCGAGAAGATGCTTCTGAGCAGAACCTGGGTCAGGGACGCTCGTTTTAGCTGTGGGTGTGGGCGCCCTTGGTGGCACGGAGCTCACCGGCCCCACAGCCGGTGCCAGGCCCACCCGCTGGCGCCGCGCCCCCCTGCCCGGGTGCCCAGCTCCGCCAACCCAGGCTTGTCACCGCTCTGCCCGGCCCAGGGCTGCCGCGGCGGGGCCGACCGTGGGCGAAAACCCTTCGCCCCCCGGCGCGGGTGAGGCCCCGAGGGGACGGTGATGGCTCCCGCCCCGCCCCCGGCCCCGGCCCGGCCCGCGGCCGCTGAGGGGCGGCCCCGCCCTACCGAGCGCCCCCTTGCGGCCCGGCGGTCGGCCCGGCGCGGAGCGGGGCGGCGGCCGGCGCGCGGCGGTGGCCGGGCGGTGCGCGCAGGTGCGCGCGGGCCGGGGGCGCGTGGGTGTGGGGGTGTGTGAGGAGGAGGAGGAGGAGGAAGAAGAAGAAGAAGGAGGGGGGGGGGGGGGGGATGAAGTATGGCCGAGCCGCCCGGCGCCCCGCACCGCACCACCGGTTCCACCTTACTGCACCCGCTGAGCGGGCTGCTGGGCATCCCGCTGGACCAGGTGAGGCTGCGTGGCGTGGCGCGGCGCTCGTGGCGTGGGTCCTGAAGCGGGGGTCTCCCGGCGTGAGGGAGGCACACCTGGTGGAGCCGAGTATCCCGCCGCTGTCACGCCTTGCATCAGCCCAAAGGGCTTTTGGGGGGCAGCGCGGAGGCACCGTCCCGCGTGGAAAACCGAGGGGGGGGGGGGGGCAACCGTCTCTGCGGGGAGAGGAGAGCGCGGGGTGGGGGGGAGGTTGCGGGGCCGGGTGGCTGGCGGCTGCTACAGCCAAAAGCCTTTTTCTTTTCCCCGGCGTCCTGGCGCTGTTGGCGCTCCCCGCGAGAAGCGGCTGCCGCTGGATGCTGGCAGCCGCCGCGCTGGGGGGCAGCGGCCGCCACGCTCCGAACGCTGAAATAGCGGAGGGGGGGGGGGGGGCGTTTGGGCAGCGGGGCGTCGGGGGGGGGCGGGGGGCGGCCGGAACTTGTCGGGCGAGAAATCCCGGCGTTTGGGAGCTGCTTCGGTGGCTGCCGAGCCCGAGGGAGGAGGCACGGAAGTCTCCAGCCTCGCAAAAGCAGCGCCTGGTGTCACTGCAAAGTGTTTTTCTGGAGATCTGTGAAACGCACCGGCGGTCTTATGGGCAGGCAAATTAGTATGAAATGCTTCACAGCGTAGTATGTTTTTTTTTTTTTTTTTTTTTTTGGGGAGGGGGTGGGCGGGCTGTCTGGTTGTTTATAGGCTCCAGACCCCCGGCAGGCAGAAAACATTGCTTCCCCACCCCACCTTTTATTGTCTCTCCAGCCTGCCCTGCACCTGCTGCCTTCCTGCGTTCTTTCAGCAAGGAGGAAGCTAGGTCGGGAAGTTTGTGCCGACCAGAAAAAGTCTCCACCAAACTACTAGGAGGCTGAGCTGCGCTCTAAGAAACCAGGGCAGCAGAGACATGCTGTTAAAAATCAACAGAAGATTGAGATTTATTTGCCTTTTTTCTGTTTGCAGAGTGGCTGGTGCTATGTGTCACTTTTACTACTGTTTGTTTTAAAAGTTGAATAAGAAATACATCACTTTATAGATTAAACACCTAACCATACCAGTTTTTCCTTTTTAAACAGAAAACAGGTTTTGATGCAAAGAGATCTGTTGCTCAGTGCTTAAAACATTCAAACAATAAAGGCCTATAATCATCTATAAGCTAATAATTTAGGAGAAGGAGCGTGAATAGCAATAGCTTCTTTTTAGAGGTATTCCTTAAAATTCCATGCCATGATGGATGAATACGGGAACACCAAAGTAACCAGGAATAGGAGACGTTTACTGTTCCAGCTTGTTTGCAACACCGTGGCGTGTGTACTGTGTTAGGCTGATAGGGTCACCGAACAATGGTGGCTTGACAGACTGCAGTTTTTCTTTCTAAACTTTCCAAAGCTCGTCCTTCCATTCGGCCAAGGTGATACAAAGACGCTGTTGTCCATGGAGAAAATTCTCCCGTGTTCTTCCAGGCCTCAGGATGCTTTGCTGCACCCGGTTAGGTGCTATGTTTTTCCTGGGGCCCTGGTCTCATGGGTGCTGACAGTGGGCACCTGTGTGCCTGGTGGTTTGCATCTTGAGCCCACACCAGTAAGTGTGGCGGGGCACATGCTGTGGGTTTAACAGCGTGGCTGGGCTGTGCGAGCACCCGTGCAGGCACAGGTGCCCTCCCTGCAAATGGGGGCCAGGAGGAACCCTGCCTTGCTGGGGTTCATGGCAGGACTGCAGCACAGTTGTGCTGAAATGCAGCTTTCCTCACCTGAAAGTCACCTTCCTGTTCCTTCCCCCCCAGCCGCTAATAATGCTTCATTGTCCCTGAGAGGTTACGCTATCAATTATTTTAAGAAAGTCTCCCCCACCCCTCTTGCCTCACTGCAATGTGCTGGACCGTGCCAAGCATCAGGGATTTCTGCTGCCCTGAAGTAGGATATACCCAGATCGCTGCGTGGAAGCATTGTGCCACCATAGTCCCCTCAAATGTCATGAGTTTCAACTCCGACCTGTGGTGCTAATGCCCTCAGAAGCAAAATAAAACCACTTTGAGAGCTCTTTGCCAGGTGGGTTGGCTACCTTCCTCCCTCATTAGGATGAGAGAGGGGTTTTGCTGAGGGGGACAAGAAAAGCTCACTCTCTCCTCTGTGCAGAACAGAGCTCTGCATAGGAAAGACTATTTTTCTAGATATGAATCCCATGTGTAGCAGGGGCTGGTGTTATACACATCCCTTACTGCAATGCTAACAGGCTGTCTATGCCTGCCACTCGGTGACTTGGCTGCAACCGGGGAGGTAATCTCTGGTTTGTCACTGTACGTCAGCGTCATCATGTTTGGGCTGTTGGATGGTGACAGTGTAAATCTCCCTGCGGTCCGTGTGGCTGGCAATTCCCCGTGGCTGGCCCTGAGCCTTCAAAAATGCTGAGAAGTGCCCAGAGAGCGAGAGGCAAAGGTGCGCAGCTGGAGTTTAGACCCTCTTAAGTCCCTGCGGTATGTGGAAGCTGTGTGTGTCTGCCTCTACGTTAAGTGCACAGAGGACTTGTCCCTTCTTCTATGGAGATGGTTTTCCATGATGCCTGTGCTATGAAAGAGATTTCAGTCTATGAGAAAGACCAGGAAAAAAAGTTGAGCTGAAGGTCTGAAAAATTAAAGTCATAATTGTTACCCTTTCACAGCAGGGGCAGAAAAGCTGTAGTAGTAATGGTAGGTGGAAAATGTTTTGTCATCTAATAAGCAGCTATAATATCACTCACTATGGGAAGCATGGATGAACATGAAAATGTAATTTTTTCACATTGGTTGTTTTCTTCATTTTAAAAAAATTACAACCTAGGTTTAAAAACAGTGCAGAATTACAGAGAGTGCAGTTGCTAGCTGTGTTGTGTACCTGGCAGGCTGTTCGCATTTTACTTAGTAGACAGTATACTGCATGAGAGCATAATGTTGTTTTCTGCTTTAGATGCTAAAATAATCCTGATGTCTCAGTGTTGTATTTGCATGTCTCTTTAATGGATGATTTATCTTTGAATTTAGCATTGAAATACTATTTTTTAAGAAGTGCTATATTCAGTAACAAGATTAATGAGCTTGAAAGAGGATGAAAAGACTCTCTGTGTTCAATTCATCCTCATATCCCAGGAAAGCAGACTTTGAAGTTTAGCTGACTCGTGTTCTAAAAATATCTGGCTAGGTCAATGACATACCTCCAGCAGCATTTGGAAGAAAGTTTTGGGGTGTGTTTTTCCATATCACATACACCTCAAATCACTAACTCTGGAATGTCATCCCTTCAGTATGCTTATACAGTAACCTTTGGCAGAGTATATACTTTTTTTTTGTCATATATGCCCGAAATCACCTGTTTTGGGACATCATCCTCTACCATACGCCAGTGAGATATAGGAAGTTAAACATTAAACTTTCAATAGTGTAATTTCTATAAACAAAGTGCATGTGTGTATAAACACAGTGAAGAAATAAATTCACTATTTAATGTTATATTAAAAGTAAGTTTAATGGCACTGTTTATCCATATGTAGTTTTGCCATGCCTTCCTAAGCTCTAGGCATCTCTAGAAGTAACTCAGATTCAAAGGGTTAAGCCATAGGCTAAAACATTTAATTTCTCAAGGTTATTTTGCAGTACCCTTGATATCCCAAGTTACCTAGAAGTAGCAGCCCGAATGCAAATCTTTGACTGCCGTAAAACAAACCTTACATTTTAACAGGCTTTACCCTGACATATGCCAGACAGCACCAAGTTTGTTGATTTTCAGGGAAATATGTTCTATGTTCAAGGAAAGTCTCTCAAAAAAATGTAAGAGCATCTTCTCATATTTATATCAGAGAGCTTTTGACCTTCAGTGTTTTCACTGATGAGGCCAGCCATGTTTCCCTAAAGGGGAAAAAAATATGCATTTACGCTTAATTTCGGATGCTTTGGCTGCTGGTGGTACACCTTATTTTTCATTTTAATCCTTTCATTGGAGCTGGTCTGCATATTTATGTTTTGGCAGCAGTTTAAATAAAACACTAATTTTGGGGAGGGGGGGAGGGGGGCAGGGAGGGACTGTGCGACATGCCCCTGAGCCTTGGGATAGTTGAAGTATTAGAGATGTCCTCCCACTATTCCTTGAGTTCGAATAGCTCGCTACCCAAGGCATGCTGATGCTGATGAATTGGTTTAAAAATGAGAAAGAAGAAAAAAAATGAGTGTTGTTTTTTTTTTTTGTTTTTTTTTTTTTCTTTTACAAAAAATCAACATGAATTCTGATTCTAAAATCAGGAGTTATTTTGTTAAATTTCACATTTTTTAGCTTTTCTGCTGTCTGACTTAAGATTTACTCCTATGCTTTCTGGTTTAGCTAGTCAAGCAGATGTTTTGTTCCCAAGCTTCTTTGCATGACTTTTCTAATCTACTTTTTGGGCCGTGAAAAGCCAAATAAAAAATTAGCTTTCGAGGAATTCAACAGATTTAGGCTGGGAACTTTCAGATTCTTTCAATGCTTGTCGATAGAGGCATTAGAAGATGTAGGGCTGAGGAAAAAAAGTAATTTCTTACAGGTTGAAGAGAGGTAATTGAGGATGGAAGTTTACTGAAGACATAAGTGGGGTTAGTATACAATTTTTATCTGAAAAAAGCTACTTTTAGGCATCAGTAACAACTGTCCATGTTTGGTATAAACTGTGCTACATTTTCATTTGCATTGCCTAATCCCAGTCATTTTGCAACTGAAAATTCTATGTTTTCATTTTGAATTGCAGCAGTATTTGCCAGATTTAATGTGACACCCTCAACTGCAAAAAATAAAGCCGTATAACTTTTAGTTATTTGAGAAACAGTAAGCAAAAATGAAATTTGAAATCAACATCTTAAACCACATTTGTAAAGAGATATTACTTAGGTTGCCAAAACGAACTTTAATTTTGATTTTTTTTTTTTTTCCTGACTTTTGAGTACCTAGATTTAGTAAAACTATTTTCCTTAAAAGAAATCATTAGCTTTTTACTAT